AAATACTCTTTCGTATGACTTTTTTTTATTTTTTGAAATAGATTTATTGTCATTTACTATCTGGTCATTCAAGATAGTATATACAGCATTTACAAACTCAATATACTTTTCTTTTGTGTCAATAAACTCGTATATATACGACTGAATAAGGAACTGCACGGTACTTAAGAACTTTCCTTCCATGAACTGCTCATATGTAGTTGGCTCAGTGTAGCCTTCTTTTTGTATGTAAGTTATTGCATCTCCTGCATAGTTTTTCATAAAGTTAATAAGTTTAACTGTTTCTGTGTGGTAAGTTTTAATTTTTTCTTCTGAATTTTTCTTGTTTACATAAAGTACTAGGCTCTGGTCAACATATATATCTTTTTTGTTAGTACTTCTCAGAACAAGTTTTTTCTCTTTTTTCTTTTCTTCTATAGCAATAGGAATATCCACCTGCTCAGACAGGAGGAAAAGGGCTGCCAGGATGTTCATACTCTGTGGCTGCACTTCATCTTTTAGCAGAAAAGAAGTGGGTGCATCCAGTCTTCCTGCTATGATGGAAAGTGCACCATCAGCGCATGGAAACATATTGATTAGATGTGTATGAAATCTAAGAAAATAATCATTCTTTGCTTTAAATTTTTTCGGGTCATATATATCATCATACGCTTTGTCATTGACTGGCTTTTTTTCGTATTCATAAATTAATCTGCCATGTTTATATGTTTTTATCAATTTATGCATCGTGTCTATTTCGTATGCATATAATCGTTTGTTATGTATATATCCGCTCTTGCGCATAATGTCTGCTCTGAGTGGACCAAGTGATCCATCTGGATTTATTACCAAGTTACCTTCTTTACTAATAATTTTGGTGTTTTCTATTATCTTTATATCACTCAACTCAACTCTTGCACATATCGTGTACATCATCACTAGTAGCTTTATAATCATACTATTGTTCATCCTAGAAATAAATTTTTAAAATATATATATTTTTTGTTTTTAATAACTCCGTGCTATCTTTACTATTAATTGGTTAATGCATAATAAACACTTATGAGCGTGCCTGATTGCATATATAACATAAAGTATTCTTTGATTGGTTACTTATTGTCCTTCATACCATCTCCTATTTAAATACTCATCAAAATTATTCTAGCTATACTACAATAAGATTGGCTCTTTGAATTAAATATACTGCTACACTCTTTAATACACACTTTGCCTTCTATCTCCTTATTTGTTCTCTTCCTGTTTAGTCTCCTCCTTTCTCTTCCCTTCCTTCCTTCTCTCTTCTCTTTCTCTTTCTCTTTTTCTTTTTATTATTCTGTTTATATAGAAGGTATAATAATTCAATATGTAACACATACACTAATAAAAATATTACTATACAATTTATTTTTAAAATCGAATTTATTTTATTTATTCTCATACTATAGAACAGTATATCACAATAACAAACCAAACCAGGTGGACAGCAATATTAAAAGAAATCACCAAGTGTTTATGTATAGAAAAATGCACATCACACAAACAAACCAGCAGTGAAATATTAATTATTTATTTTAGATTATACACAAATGGCACTAAATAGAGTCAATTAATATAACTATAGAGACAGAATAACCCGAAAATTCTAAAACTATTTACTAGTAATTTTTATTATTTAATGTGAACTATGCATAATTTATTAAAATTAAAATATTATTCGGGCCTTACATTTTTTATTTCTATGCTCTCTTAATAATAAATGCATGTATATAGAGAAAACAGTATATTCTTATAACTTACACACAAATAATTCAACACGCGCTTATGTATTTCTATACGTAAAAATATTCAAAACTCTCTGGAAAAATCCTTCTTTACTAGGCAGAGTAGCGCTGTTTATTTTGTTCATAATACAGTTGTACTTCTCAACACTTTCAGGGATTTCTTTATTGCACAGTAGATCCTTATTCTTTTTTAAATATTTCAATATATAGGAATGGTTAAGAAACATACAATCCCATTTGTTGTTTCTATTAAAGCTATAATTAACGTCTATTTGATCCATTAGAGTCTTTGTAATCTCTTCCTTAACATCAAAATTGTATAATATCACATTAACAGCCCATCTTAAATAAATAACAAACATATTTGATCCATCTGGCTGCACAACTGTTTTATCTACTATGTTTATGAGCTCTAAAAGCGTTTTAGTTGGGTTATTAGTCTTTTTAGAAAATATTACTATATTTTCAATTAATAAAGATCCTAGAATAATATCATACTTCTCATCACTATTTGCTACAACTATCATCAACTTTTTAAAACACTCTAATGAAATCTCATGAGGATAGTTTAATTCCACTAAGATTTTACTATTTATTAGGCGGAATTTATCATTAGTAATTGTAGCAGCCTCTTCCCAGCCGCTCTCAATTTTTGCATAGTAGCCCTTACCATCTTTATTAAGAAAGCAATAAAGAAGCATATCTTCTCTTGTTACTCGATCATCCAATGGAGTACTTCCTATAAGATTATTGGTAAACCGAACTAGTGAATTGTTTTTTGGTAGAGTATTCTTTACATTCATAATCAAGAAGTATCCAACAATGCTTGCTTTTTGTTCAACAGATCGAATCATCCCGTGAAGTAAAATATCATTTATATTATCATGGTTATTTTTAATACTTTCTTTAATCCGGCTAAATACAGACTTTTGCTCCATCTTAGCAAGTTCTATGTTTATGTACTGTCTAATTGTGCATGCAGTGTAACTCTCTATATTACTATAAGTATTCTGTATTTCAGTCAGCTTTTCTTTAATAATATTTTCCTCTTCACTAGACAATAGGTCTTCCAATAAGCTTAATGAGGAATGACCAGGAGTTATCTCTACTAATATTCCATTTTTTTTCTTATTGAAAGTATATACTAGCTTAAACTCACCAAATAAGTCCAGATTATTATCTTCTCGCGTACCTACTGTGAATTCGTCACACTCTATTTCAAGATTCTTGTTATTTGATAGCTCCTTGAATATTTTAGTCAAGCATTCTTCTATATCAAGCTCATCATTAACCTTCCTATCAGCAAGAAGTTCTTCTAAGCACTTAATTTCTTTAACTACTTCTTCTTTGCTTCCAGTTATATTCGATAAAACATAGAGAATATTCAACAAACTGCTTTTTAGCTCATTTGTCTTCTCCTTTTTATAAAGAATCTTGGCATTCTTCAAGTCTGCCACTACTCTACACCAATCTTGGTGCATTGTATAATCAGTGACTTCAGTTGGCTCAGTGTACTCACAGAAGAATTCTTTCAGTGGCTTAGTTTCTTCATTGTCGGGCAGATGGTCTGTATTGTACTTCTTTTTATTTGGATCATATACTAAGCATAAGAAAAGACCCATCAGAGTCGTTTCTACACAATTGGAGTACTTTCTGCTTTCATTGTTTATGAACTCGCCCTTTTCCCGATCATATGATTTGGCCCGAGTATAGGACGGAAGCTGTGATGAATCCATGAATGGAAATATTTTATACTTGTCTATTGTATCCTTAAGATCGCAAATAATCTTAGTATGGTCGATTTCGTTTGATTGTGCATCTTCTTTTACAAAGCACTTGTTAAGTACTCTTTCGTATGACTTTTTATTTTTTATCTGGTCGTTCAAGAGAGTATATACAGCATTTACAAACTCAATATACTTTTCTTTTGTGTCAATAAACTCGTATATGTACGACTGAATAAGGAACTGGGACGTGTTCAAAAATTCTCCTGTCATGAACTGCTCATACGTAGTTGGCTCAGTGGGCAGTCCCTTCATTGCACTTGGATTCACCCCTTCGTTGTCTATATACTTTTTAAGGAATTTAATAAGACTCAGTAAATTTTCGTTTGTTCTTGGCTGGTTAATGTATGCAGTTGTTCCATCTGCACTTTTTAGAACAAGTTTTTTCTCTTTTTTCTTTGTTTCTATAGTAAAAGGAACATCCACCTGCTCAGACAGAAGGAAAAGGACTGCCATAATGTGCATGCACTCTGGCTTTACTCTATCTTTTATAAGAAATGAATAAATTGAATCCTGTCTTCCTGATACAATAGAAAATGACCCGTCGGTCGAAGGAAACATTTTGACTAGCAGTGCATGGGACTGTGTGAGATATTCATTCTTTTTTGTGTCCTCACAAATATCACTGTATACTTCATCATTTACTGGCTCTCTTGTATAAGCATAAATTGGTCTTCCATCTTCATATTTTTTTTCCAATTTATACAATGTGTTTATTTCTGGCGCATATAATCGTTTGTTGTACATACATCCGCTCTTGTGCATGATATATCCTCTGAGCGGATTTAATGGTCCGTCTGGATAGATTAACAAGTTATCTTCTTCAATAACTACTGAATCTCCTATTGTCTTTATATCACTCAACTCAAGCCTTGCACACACTGTGTACATCGCCAATAACAGTTTTATGATCTTACTGTTTTTCATTCTGGGAATAAATAAAATATTTTTTATTACCTTATTCGCTTTTTTTAATTTCATCTAATTAACAATCTTTTATTTTGATATTTATATTTTAATTTAGAGGAGTTTTCCAACTAATTGGTTATTGTTCTCCTCTTAACGAACTAATCAAATACCGTTCTCCGTTATATTGATTGATCAAATCAACTTGGCCTAATTAATTGTCATTATTTGATTGGTACACTATTTGAGTGGTATGTTTCATAGTATAGCAGTATTTACTGACATACTCACGAGTAATACCGCCATTGCCGCTCTGCTACGTAGTCAAGATAGAGAAGAAAGTGAAGGGAAAGAGCTCATTATTTGTTTAGGAAGCGGCCTAAGTCTGCGCAGATTTAGAGTCCTAAGGGCGTGGCTGTGCTAGACCTAGCGCGGGAGTAGGCTGTCGATACTTTCCTTAGTCTCCTCCTAAATTAGGAGAAGAGCTCAGATTAGATAGTCAGAAATGGATCTACTGATTTTCGATTCTGGCCCATTGTTTTGATAACATCACTATGCGAGCTAGCGCGCAAACGGATCTCCCCTGGAGCCTCACACACAAGCGTGGTGTCGCCATGCACAATATAGTCTAAATTAGAAAATAATTTCGGGTTATATTAAGTATTTATTTTATGTATGGTGTTGGTTTTGGACAATGAGATCCAAAATAGCAATGAGCTCGCATGATGTTAATATATGTGTGTGCATAATTTGTGATAGGCATAGGCATATTGCTATCATAAATGAATGAGATTAAAACTATATAAGAGTTTTTGTATTTCAATAAATAACAAGTTTTCGGATGTCTAAGCCTTCACGAAAAACCAGCTATACCTATCCATTTGATGCCCCTCAAAATCTATATCAATAAACTGTTTTGAACTAAAAAATATAATTTATTCCTATTTTCTGTCTTTAAAACACTAACTACTATAATAATACACTCAGTACATGTGTATAGCATATACACTGCTTAATAGAGACTAAAATATAACAAATACTTACTGCATACTCAAGATGATTTATACCTCATTTTTATTTTAAAAAGATTCGTTGAATTGGTTTTTGCCTTTAATGTACTCACAATCTTTCATACTTTGCAATACTATTTGGATCGCTTTCGTTATATAAATAGTCACTATATATGCTTAAATATTTCAAGACATTGCGTATTCTTATTATGTTCAAATCAATCTGCTCACTACTCCCTTCTGTCAGACAGTCTTCTTCTATAAGATCAAATAAACACCTTACAAAAGCTTTTTTATCATACTCGCCTTCTTTATATCTAGTAAAGCAAGGCCAATAAACCAATTTAAATAATGCTCAATTTCTCTTTAAATGCTTCAGTTGGTTCTATACTGCTGCGTATGGCAAATATAACTAGACACTCCATCAAGTGCATCTGTTTTGCAATAATACAATACCCATTATCACTGGGTCGCGCTGCCCCCATTAGACTGCCAAAGCAGTCTGAAATAGTGCCCAATGGATAGGATTCTGGTGATATAAATAGATCCAATATTGCTTTTTCAAATATGTATTGGTTGCATTTAGAAAACTCATTCAAATTGCTTTTAATTTTCGGGCAATACGCTTTGGCGCCTGCATTATACACAAACCAAATCAGCAAATCTTCTTTTGCCTCCTTATCATTTAGCGGTGCACCCTATAATATTGTTAGCAAGACGAACTAGTGGAGTGCTTGTGTCTAGGAAAGTATTTACATAGAACATCAGAAAGTATTTAACAATATACGCCTTGTGATCAATCGAACTAATCCTTCCCCAAAGGAACAGGCTAGCTAAATCCTGCCTACTGCTGCTAATAATAGCCTGGATTCTTTTCTTACCAATGCTCCTAGCACACTGTTCGCACCCTCCGTCTTTTCCAGCTCTATATTAATATATTGCTTGATTATACACTCTGTGTAATTTTTTGAACTGCTATATGCTGTATGCATCTCATTCAACTTGCTTTGGATAATTTTATTATTTTTGCTAGAGAGGGAGTCTCTCTGTAGATGCAGATTAGTATGCCCAGAATCTGGATTTATCAAAATTTTGTTTTGCACCATTAAAGCTATACACTAGTTTAACTTTGCCAAATACATCCTTCTTATTGTCTGACCGCTTTTTTGGTATTAAAGCTCCGCACACCACTTCAAGATCCTTATTCTTTGGTAGTGCATAGAACATGCTGGATAGAACTTCTTCTATGCCAAGCCCGTCACTTAACTCTGTATCATCTCGCACATGCTTCATGCATTTGATTGCTTCTAGCACTTCTTTTTATTTCCAGTTATTTCTGCTATGGCATAGAGAATGTTTATCCACCCACTCCTAATTTCATTTTTTTCTTTTTTATATACAATGTTTTTATTGCCCAGGTCTGACACTACTCTGCTCCAGTGCTGGTGCATTGAGCATTCAGTGCTTTCTACTGGCTCTTTGTATCTTACAAACACTGTGTGATCAGTTACACTTGACCAGGCACTTTTTTATAAAACAATTTGTAAAAACCTTCCTTGCCTTTTCTCTATTCTCTGGCATAGACTTATTGCTCTCCGCCTGCTCAGTTAAGAGAGTATACACCACCTTTACAAACTTAATGTAATTGTCTTTTGTATCGATAAGCTCATATATGTACGGCTGGACAAGGAACTGTGGTGTGTTCAAAAAGCCTCCCGTCTAAAATTGTTCATATGTAGTTGGCACAGTGGGCAGTCTCATTAATATGTTTGGATTTGCACTGTTTCGGGTTATATACTCTTTCAGAAAGCTAATAAGCTTCATAATCTCTGTGTTCCACTTTTTCTCTTCCTTCTTTAGCTTTGTACCGTCTTTGTATAGAGCCAGACTTTTGCCGATATATGTAACCGTTCCATCTATACTTCTCAGAACAAGTCTTCTTTCCTTTTCTTTCCTTTTTTTATTTCTTCTACAATGGGAATAAATATCTGCTCAGATAAAAGGAAAAGAGCTGCCAGGGTGTACATACACTGCAGGCGTACTTCCTCTTTTATTAAGAATGAATATAGTACATTTGGTCTTCCTGCTACAATAGAAAGTGACCCATCTGCAGAGGGGAAAATTTGGATTAACTGTTTGTGGAAACGGATGAGATACTCGTTCTTTACTGCATCTCGGCAAATATTACCATATACTCTGTCTTTGATAGGATCTCTTGTGTATTTGTAAATGGGCTCATCATTTCCTGTTAATTTGTTTTTTATTCCAAACTATACTCTATGTCTATTTCTGGTGCAAAAAGTTGCTTATTGTACATGTATCCACTTATGTGCATAATCCATCCGGGTTGATTAAGAGGTTGTCTTCTTTGCCAAATACTTCTGCTCCTATACTTTCTATGTCACTCAGCCCAAGCCTTTTACACACTGTATGCAACATTATTAATAGTTTTGTAATTATACCTCTTTTCATTCTAGGTATATTTTTTTAGTTTAAAACAGCTTATTGATATTGAGCTGGTAGAATACTGAATAGAATTATATAAACATTAGAAACATAATATAATCTATAAATGAATATAACCCGAATAACCCGAATCATCTGGCTAGAATGGTATATTTATATATAACCCGAAACAAGTAAAAATGTATTTTTATTTTTACACATTGCATTAAAAAACCTAGCGCTCTATTTAATGCTAGTTTAAAATAAGAAAACATTGGTGAAAAATAATCTGCACATTATAAAGGTAATAGATTATGCCTGATTGCCTAAATGGCATCTTTTTCGAGCTGTGTTCCGGTTAGTTAAGAGTTGCTTACTTGATACAAGAAGACTGCATCTTTTGATATGGCATATAGTTTTTTCATATTTTGCTTTGCTTACTTCATTTTCTGCTATGCCTAGCAAATGCATTTTTGCATCCAGAACATATAAAGCATGGTTAAAATCTACGTTTTTTATATCCCTTGTGTCGCTTATATAGTCACAAGAAATGTATATAGGCTCTAGATACATATAGATACTTTTAATAAGCCTTAGGTTAGACAATGGTTCTGCGCAGGCATATAATAGCCATAAAAACCAAACATGGGCCAGTCCCCGTGCATTATATGCTTCTATTTTCTCTTCCATGCATTTCATTACATTTTGTGGCGCATTAAATCCATACACTTCGATTAATCTAATACAGAATGCATTGAAAGATGTGTATGCCCCAAATATATTAACCACTCTTTTTAAAAAAATAGAATGGCTTAATAGATTGCAGAGAGAATCGTTAAATATTTCTTCTAAGCTGCTTATATCTATTATGCTGCCCAGTAAAACCCAAACATCATTATTATTAAATTCTGCTGCAGTCAGAAGCTCTTCCGGGTCATACTCAATTTTTGCAAAGTACTCATTGTAATTAAAGCAGCACATGCACGATATTAATATTTTCTTTCTGCTAGATCATCAAGGGATACACTTCCTATAATATTTCTAATAATACGCAGCAGCTGATTGTCAGTATGTAATTTTCGTATTTTTCCTCTGTTAATAAAAAAATATCTGACTATAGATGCCTTGTATTCTAGAGAATCTATACGTCCCCACAAAAATATTTTATTTAGAACATTTCTATCTAGCATGGTATTAAGCGCGTTTTGATTTTGTTTTGGTGTTTTTTTCTTCAGCCTCTTTATATTGTTTTTTGAATAGCTCCAAATAATTCTTCCAATGTAGCTTTCCATGAAACTGTAATTTCGGATTGTCTGCATTAGTTCATTTCTTGCATCTTCAGAATAGTCGCTAAACTCTGACACAAGTGAAAACTTAGAATACTTTGGATGGATATCCAGTCCTATACTTTCCTCTCTATTATCAGCCTTAAAACTGAGCGCAATGCTACCAAATACATCAAATGTTTGCCCTACTGCGAGCAGATATTCCAGGGCCGATGATTTAATGCCGATTTGATGATTTCCTGCTAGATGATTAAGAATATTCAAAAATAGCCTTTTTATACTCTTTATTATTTCTGATTCAGACTCTTCATTGTACGAAATGCTAGTTATATTCTTTATAGCAGCTCTTATATTAATATTTTCACCAAACAGCTCATATATCACATATAGAATGTTCTCTAGCCCACCACACAGCTCTGTTCTACTCTCTCTTACATACCTAATGTTTGGATTGTTCAACCTTGATACAACTCTGCACCAGTCTCTGTGTTTTTCCTGGCTTGCACTCTCTGTGGGTACTGAATATTTATTAAAAAATTCTATTAGTGCTGTAGAGGCACCGTGCATATGCTCAGTTGAACATAGATTGGTTTCTGGGTTGTATGTAAGACATGTGAACAGATTCAAAAGCATTGTCTCCACATGGTCACTATACTGTAATGCCTCGTCTTGTACAAAGTCCTCTATGCTCTCTGGATTGTATTCATTCTCTGGCACACGGGTGTAGGAAGGTACCATTTCTATACTTGTGAATGGAAGAATTGAAGATCTGTCTATTTTATATTTTAGGTTGCAAATATCAATAATATGATTTCGGCGCATATTCCTATATAAGCCGTTCTTATCTATAAAGTAATAATCTATAATTTTCTTAATCAGGTTTTTTTGTTGCTCTGATGGTTTTGTTTCCATGTAGTATAATAATTTCTGTAGCAACGTATGTACACTGTCTAAAAACAGCTTGTACTGCTCTACATTGTCTATGTACTCAAAAATATAAGATTGTATAAGGAATCCTGGACTGTCAAGAAAATAACCCAAATTAAAATTCTTTTGTGTTTCTGGTTCTCTACACCTTTCTAAATCAGATAAAAAAGGCTCTATACACAGACTCTTAAAAAACTGCACAATCTTTTCTGTTTCCTTCTGGTATACCATTATTCTTTCCACTTCATTCATAATATTCTCCTGGCGTATGTATAAATCAATGTTCTCTGATACACTGTTTGTATCGTGCATCTGCTGATCTGCCTCTTTGGGCACTATGCTTTCCAACCATAAAGGCAGGTCAATAAAGGAAAATTCGTCAAAATCAAATTTTAAAAGTATTCTCTCACCACTATGTATATTTTTTTCTATAGCAATAGGAACATCAATACCCTCTGAAAGAAGCAGCAGTGCAGCAAGAAGATACAGACTGTCCACCTCGTTGCAGTGCGCTCTTAGAAATCGTGTGAAAGAGTCGTTTCTACATGGCTCAATAGAAAGATTATTATTTTCGCACGGAAACATATAAATCATTGTTTTGTGGTAGTAATATAAATAATTAGGGGTATATCTACGCCCAATACCACTACATTTATATGCTTTATCATTTTCTGGGTTTCTGGTATATATATAGAAATGCTCATTATCTGTTGATTTTGCACTTTTCTTCAGACTATAATCAGTGTTTATTTCCTGTGAAAACATCCGCTTGTTGTACATATAACTGCTCTTGTGCATGATGTACGTTCTGAGTGGGTTTAGTGGTCCATTGTGATTGATTAGTATGTTTTTATTTATACTAAATGGGGTTTCACATATATTTTGTATACCACTCATCTCAAGTCTTGCACACACTGTGTACATCATTATTAATAGTTTCATGATCATACCGTTTTTCATGTTATGTATAAATAAAATATTTTTTATTGCTTAGTTTGATTTTCAATACCATATAATTAACCATCTTTATCTATTATTATTTATATAACTTAGTTTAGAATAGTAAAATAAAATAATTTCAAGCCATCATTCTTTTCTCAGCAACCTAATTAGGCGATGTATTATGCTATCTCTATTAATCAAGCCATCTCTATCTATTTAATTCACCTAAAGTTTATTTGGCGTGTTATTTAATCTATTGAGTTGCCTCAATTGAACATTTTTCTGGCCTGGTGTGATATATTCTTCTGTATATTCCTGTGCTGTGTATGTTTTCTTTTACTATTCTTTCTTATTATTCCTAGTTTTATTTTTAAAACTAAAAGAGAAATAAATAAGAATTGTACTCTATAAATAACTAATATGAACACTTACTTTACACTATAAATAAATAAATTTATAAGAATACTCAAAGCATACCACAATATGCAGATATTACACAAATAAGCAGAAAACAACATAAAAAGACATTTAAGTTTAATATTAAAAGAAAGTGCTGGCTTTATCATACGATGAATCATGCCGATTCTCGTGAAGTCGCATATAGATGTTATATATGAGAATTAAAGCTGTATAAGATGAGGATAATAACAATAAGAATCTTAATTACGTACCAAGAAATAAACAAGTGAAAATAACCAGAAATGAATATAACACCCGAATATTTAGATATGATACCTTCAGAATACACTTCAGAATTTCTTTATATGGTTTAACATTACTATAGCTCAGACTATATTTCTATATATTCATATGTATATTTATGCATGTATGTGCATAGTCCATGAATAAGTATACCTAATGGCTTTTTATATGTTTATCCAATATTTTAATTTAAATAGAAAATGCCTTCTAAGTATAATATATAACCCAAAAAGAAAATATTTAAATAATTATTACATCTCACTAGCTAAAGGAGCACGCAGCTATAATAAACAATAAACAAAGAAGTAAAATAAAATAGGAGAAGTAAAAAATTTTAAGTAATGGTTTCTAGTCCAGAGCACAGAAAGCTATCCGAATACGTACGGAGCCTTGCCCCAAAGGCAAGGCAGATCCTTTATAAATGTCCTGTTGTTTTTTTTGGTCGCAGTTCTTTATCTTATGTATGTCATGACCGTTGGCGAAAAAATGTTCTCTACCGCGGGAGCCTTTCCCGGCGCAGAGGCGCACATAACAAGTGCATTTTTATTCGTGATAGCTTCCTGTATCTCTCAAATTTTATTCTTTGCTCTTTCCTCGTATGCATCAGGAGTTATCTCCTCGCCCATATCTGAGTCGTTCGCACATGTGCAGGTTATGCACGAGTCTCTTGCAGCACAAGTTCCTCCAAACAAGGTGTTTACTAATCTATTTGTATGCTTGGCGGTATCTGCGCTGATCACAAGTGCTGGGTTCTTCCTTATGTATGTGTTCCGCGCAGAGCGAGTAATTCGCCGCATTCCGTCTGGAATGTCAATGGCGCTTTTTGTGTCAATAGGATTCCTCTGTGTATCCTACGCAAATGAACGGGTTCTTGCAGCAGAAATGCCTAAGATACAGCGAATAGTGGCGGTTGCTGGATTTAATATAATTGGCATGGCAGTCACGGTGTTCTTTTATGCCTGCAAAAAGCGCGCACCAATTGTTACCCGGTATAGCGTATTATGGGTAGGCATAGCATTTACCGCAGTTTTTTATATTAGTGCGTATTTATGTGGAGAAACACTCTCTTCTCTGCTGGGTAAAGGATGGCTTTTAAGTGATCCACGCAAACCAGTAAAGCTATCGGTTCCTAACCTTGTTTTTTCATACATTGATGTTAAAACTGTACTAAATCAGCTGCCAGCGATTCTAAAGATTGCTGCCATGAATCTCTTGCAGTTTCCAATAAACTTTCCGCCGGCAAAAGCACAAACAGGACGTACTGCATGCGCGCGGAATGAACTATTCGCAAACGGAGTATGTAATGCTGCCACTTCGTTATTTGGGTGCTCCACACAAGTACTCCCGTCCTCAACCATTGCAGTATATGAATCCGGGTCTAGAAGCACCATAGATACACTTCTATTTGCAATGGCACTAGTGTTTTCTCTTGGCCTAGGATACCAATGCCTGCTGTATATTCCTTTTGCAGTGTTTGACATGCTATTTCTTTGCCTCGGTATGAACATTGTGCTTCAATCAGGAATAGATGCGTATAATGAAGGCTGGGGGGTATTGGCCATTGTATCTGGCGTGTCCCTGGTCTCTGTTGTATCTAATAGTGTTTTGTGCGGAGCGGCAGTTGGTGCCACGTTTTATGGGGTTAAATATATGCTGCACAGAATAGCTAAACCATCGCCACTAATACCAAGCGATGTTTAATAACTGCTCTTTCCTTTGTTTAATATAACCCGAACAACTAGATTGTAACTATAATGTTTTTATATTATGCCCATGGCCATTATCTAAATATAAAAAATTCCTAAGAGTGTAACAGGGATGATAAGACATGTGCAAACATTGATATATGATGTAATTAATAAAAGTTTATAATCTTTAATATTTTAATATGGGCGTAAAGATATTATTCATTTATTTCTTTTCAATATATTGGATTCCTAAATATAAGCAGTTTAATCTAATAACTCGAATTCTCTACAAAAATCCATAAATAGCTAGATATTTTCACATGCAGCACACACTGCAGACGGCATATGGATTTTATCAGCCGCATCTATTCATTCTTTCGGGTTATATGTTTATGTTATGAAATAAGTAATATAGTTTAACTTAGTGTTTACTATATTAGAATTTCCGGCTATACATAGCTTGTGTATATAAATAGAATAAAATCTCTTTAATATGTTCCTAAAACACTATTATTATGCAAAAGTATACTATTACTTAACACATCTAGCACTTCTCGCCATACTAATTTCTTAATTCTACTTTTCACATGCCAGATATATTTTCAGCCGCACTCCCTTTTCAGTTGCTGGTTTCTTTGCAAATTTTCATGAAGTTTTCTTCGCTTGCCATACTAGACAGTTTGAAGAGG